AACATCCAAACGCGGAGCTTCTGCCGTGAGTGAGGGAAAAGTGGTCCAATATCTGACTCCTACCGTGAGTGCTTTTCTTGTTTCTCCCAGAGGCTCAGTATTGACCGAACGGCGATACCAGAAACGCAGAATGCAGAACAGAGCTGCTCAGCGAGCATACCGTGAACGGAAAGATTCCGAGCTGCAAAGGGTCAAGGATCAGCTACAAGAGCTCCAGTGCAGGTACCACGCCCTCGTCGAAGCACAAAGTCTGAAGGAGAAGACGATCCAGAGGTTGCATCACACGGTATCCAGTTTCATCGCAGATTACTTCGCTCTCCAGGGTCATGATGCATCGTGGACGGCAGAAGCAGCGCATGGGATGGTGGGCGATTTGTAGATCATTCGGAGATGTCATAGCTGGAGCCCGAGGGAAGACCCATACGAGGATTTTGTCACTTCTTCTGCTGATTCCCTGAGCCCAAACCATGACTCCGTTGTGAGAGTGAGCCCTGGTGCTGGCCGGCTGTGCAGTTTCGTCGACCACGGGTAGAACACGGAATCGAATTGACTGTACTGACGCTCTGGAAGTCACGAGACAGCCGAGAGAACACGCAATGCGTTCAAATGTGCTGAAACTCGGCCAGCTTCAGCAAGGCAAAACCCGCCAAGCAAGTGACAACACTGACAGCCGAAGCACTGATCAGTGCAATAGCCTGATGAGGGTCTTGTTTGCACCAACAGCTTCGAGGCGACCTGTACAACAGTAGACGCACCTGGGGCTCCGAGTTCCGAGGATCGATGTCGTTTTTCGATAGGGATATCGTCGCCGCCGGGTGAAGCATGCAGTACGTTGACGCTCGCTGCGCATATCTGAGATGTGTTCTCCGAGTAGACACCTTCCGGGAAGACACAGGGTCTCCATCCTCACGCAATCTACTGCTCTCATGTGGACTGTTTGTGCTGTGCAGCGGACCAAGTATCGTGACGAGTGGCACGCAAATAGCACTAACGACTCGCAGACCAGTCATTCTCCTTAAGCATCAAAAGTGAAAAGGTAGCATGATCTGCAACCTCTTCTTGGTCCGAATACCTGCAAGAGCGAGACCTCCCAGTGAGACATTTCCAATCATGAACCCACCATACCGGGATATACGTCCCAAGCCGAAGAGTGAGTCTGAAGAGGCGCCACCGCAGCCCCTGTTCGATCCAGGAGAGTCGATGTATCCAGAACCCGTGTTTGGCCCAGGAGAGGCCATGATTCCACTTTTCGGAGAGCTCATACCAAATTCCGAGGACGACCGTGAAAATGTGCCGCATGCGCAGGAACATAGCAGTCCCCAGGAGACAACGCGACCACTCGATACTAACTCGCAAGAAGCATCTCCGTCAAGCACAAGGATGGAGATCGGATCGCGATCAGCGAGCTCATCGTTAAGAAGCGCCTCCCGTAGGTGAACGTCTTCAATGCCGGTCTCCCGCTCGCAATCCTGGGGAGCGGCACCCTCCGATCCAGATCTTCTGAACAGGCTTATGGGCTGGGTGCACCTGGAATTCATCCCGGGCGATGAATCGAACTTCCTCGATTCACAACCCTTCGCGGCCTGCGATCTCCGAGCCGCCCTTAAGGTTGCAGTTTGGAAAATATCTTTTGTCCAGGACCCGGCACTATATGATCGCATCCAGCTTGCACGTGGGCCGCAATTCCGCGTGATGGTCGATATCGGGAAGATGTATAGAACGCGACCTCTGGAATGGTAAGGCAAACAAACGAGTGTGGTAAGACCGTAGAGCAAACTGACCCTATTCCAGGGAAGGCGTGCAACCGGAGGATGTTGACTCCGCAAGCGTGACTGACCTGAAGTGGTACTTGTACAACGCGCGGAGAGAGCTGGAGTGGCTAAAGCATGAGATGGACAGATTGGATTTGTATATGCAGAACGCGGCGTATTTGAAGGCAAGGAACGACCGGCATAGCTTCACATATAGCCGATCGAAGCGTAGAACGGTGTCGAGGTGATCCGAGGTTGGTGGTAGTCCAACAGACTGTGGATCCCCCGGAGCTGCTCTGGCTATGTTGTCAGGCGTCGATAGTTGTGACGAGCCTTGTTTGTCGTGTGCAGGCGCCTCTGTCCCGGTGAGTAGTCCATGATAGCACTAGTGACTCGAAGATCAGTCACTCTACCATGAGCATTACAAAGGAAGAGAGCCGTTCACCAAACCTCGATCCAACTTGTACAACCTCCAACTCATTCTACTTCAATTACTCAACAAAGCTGAAGACTCCGAACAAACGACACATTCGAAGATGTATCCGCCCTTTCGGGAAGGGACACCAAGACCAGAGGCAGAATCTGGACAGGCACCTCAGCCGCCTGTGACCTACGCTCAGGAGACGATGCCTCCACCGAATCGAGAATACATTCAAAGTATGGAGAGCTATAGAGATGCACTGTCAGCGATGCTGGACTCCAGTGTGCGTGAGACATCACCACCAGAAAAGGAAACCAGTATCCGCGAAGGATCTCCGTCGAGTATAAAGATGGAGTGTGATTCGGAAGGAGCATCACCGTCATCATCGAGAGCCGCCTCTCGCGGAAGAACACCACCAAGGACAGGCTCCAGATCCCGAGAAGGTACGCCGTCGAATCCAGAGAACCTCGCGAGACTCATAGACTGGCTCAACCTGAAGTTCATTCCGGTCGACCCGAACAAGTTCCTCCAGAGTAGGGCATTCGCGCTGTGTGACATGAGGACTACACTCTTATGTGCGGCCCATAATATCCATTACCAGCAAGATACATATCTGTGTCAGACCGTCAAGGAGGCTCGAGGACCTGAACACTGCGTGGAAGTCAACCTTGAGAGAATGTATGCAACACGGGGGGTCCAATGGTAAGGTTGAAGGAGACAGCGGCAGTAGGCCCGATCGAGCTGACTACACAGTAGGGAACGGCTGGAGACAGCGGAAATTGATCGATTGGATGCGGCTTCCATGAAGTGGTGCGTGTACCACGCGCGGAAGGAGCTCGAGTGGATTCAAAATGAGTTGAACAGGTTGGAAATGTATATGGCGAACGCAGTGACGTCGAAGAAGAGCGGTTCTCGAACCAGCTTCGGATATACGCCAAACGAGCGTGCCCCCATGTTGGAGGTTGCAGGACCTTGGCCGGGAGAGTTGCCCCATTTTGCACTGAATATTAGTCCTAGTCATCCGTAGCGTAGTCTGTACATAGCCTGAGCGGGTAATAACGTGAGTGCCGAGTGCCCAGCGGATATTGATGTGAGGTCTTGAAGATTATGAGATGCAACAGAGAGATGAGGTCTTCTGAGGAGAAGGTCAAGCTTCTCCAGCGTCACGATCGCCAAGACTAAACTCTATCACCCCTTCAGGTACTTGCATCATTGACTAATCGATGAGAACGATGTCGGGACGCCGCGGCCTCGAGGTTGGGAGGGCAATGGCACGATTGAGCGATCGCAGGGTGGGCTACACCTTCCTTTCTCTCTCCAGTAGGTACAACAGTCTCGTAAGTTGCACTGCTACCATCTCTCCCTCACTCATAGAATAGCACTCTATATCTTCGATCACAAATTCTACTATTACGCAGGGCCACCTGAAAGACCTGGCTCGTGGTGAGGAAACGTCCTCTACGCATCCTCACTTCGAAGCGTGCAGTAGACATGTTCGACCAAAGCTTCTCCTACGCCTCTGCGACCCCTATACCATCAGCTCTCTCCGACGAAACCGCCGGCCTCAAAATCCTCCACGACTTCGAGACTGTGATTAGGCTTAGCCCTAATTGCCATGGCTGCAAGCTCATACCACCCCCGAACGGCAAGAATGGATACATAAACGGCACATCCGGAAAGACTATGCAATACTTCGAAGTCGAAGACGATCTTCCATTCATACCGAAGAAGCTCTGGTCTGGAGGTGTGAAGTATACAGCAGACTTCCTGCCAGTAGAAGACGGCTGCGACATCACGGTCCACGCACCAGCTGGGTTCACTTCCACGAACCATTGGCGGTTACTTCGTGAGACCGCACCATTGAACGAGACGATCCAGGAAGACCAGGCAGCTCGAGAGGATGCTCCTTCACAATTGGAGAGGACGGGCACGAGAGACATGCACCATGCGGAAAGCCAAGGAGTGGGCTGGTACGTACAGATCATCAGCGATGCGAAGTGCCCTCGAATGTATGCTGGGTTTGTCAAGGGGACGCTTAAGAACTCCCACGCGCAGCTGCAGTATGCCTTCATCGATCATCTGAAGCAAATGCCGAAGGAGGATCCGCAGCAGAAGCAGAGAAGGCCGACTTTGGGCAGAAGGCGGAGCACGGATTTCTGAGCTTGCTGTTGACCCGGGCAGTAAGGATCAGACTCAGGCACGCTTGCGGGCCTTGAGCATGCTGCGATCTACTCACAGCATGGCTGAATGCTGTACAACGAGGAATGTAAAGTCCGACAGAACGAATGCACCACAGCACGGCAAACCAGCACGCCTGGATGTTGCAGCAGATGTATCTATATCTCGAGACGCCACGAACCTACTACCACATCGCAGCTCTTGAAGCTATCACGCTCAACACCAGCATACACCCACCTCTGTGACCGCACTTGCACCATGCCCTCCACTTTAGATCCCCACACTATCGACCGGTTTCCAATGTCAAGCCAGAATATATCCTGCCCAAGCTCTCTTGTTGCACCCTCGACGGATGTGGCCGGGTAGTATCCTTAGATTTCTTCTGGTGGCATGTCTCGAGATCGAGGACGTATGTTAAAAGGACGACAGAAGGAGACATCTCTTATAGATAATTCTGAAAAATATGGTTTATGGCTTTGCAAATCATTGCTCAGTCTCGTCTATAATCTTCTACTCAACTAATAGAATACATGTACATAGCAAGTGCCTTCCTGTACGGAGGTATCTTACCCGCTAGAACTAGTAATCAAAGATGATACCGACCAACGACTATCTGTCAAAAAATGGCAAAAATGGAACTGACCCGAAGATGCCTCCATCTGGAATTGAACCAGAGATCTTCGCATTGATTGATCCAGTGGTTGGCGTACAAGTGCGACGCGTTACCACTGCGCCTGTCCACAGTCAGTTTCTGGTCAAAATCAAGATCGATTCGGACAGGACTAACCATAGAGGCAGAAATGGATCAATGCTGAGTCGAATTTTTGTGCTAAATATATTGCTCAATGTTTTGGCGCCGAAGTACTGCCGAACGAGCCGCCGTACTACAGCGTTTGAACTACTCCTACCTCCTATATCTACGACATTGCCCTTGCCAACGAGAGAACAACTTGACCATACGGCACTATCGCATGTACGAGCATCATTCATACCACTGTTAAGCAGCCTGGCCCAGATTCACTATCGACCACTCGACCTGCGAATGGCCAGAAATGTGGTGTGATCGCACCGCCCTACTAGTCCGCAGCATTGGTGTGGCTTAAACCAAGACCACGGCGTGGAGCTACAGATGCACGAGGATCCCTCGCTTTAGACGTGTGGCAGAATGCCGTTCTAGACACTTTCCTCTTCATCTTTGCCTGCTGTCCCTCGGTGAGCAGCATTTCGTTTCCAGCTCTACTTCAAGGCTATTCACAAGAATGGCAAATCCTCTACCACCCGATCAACGTCCTTATGGCGCTGTCTTCCGTTCATCGGAAGTAATGAAGGTTCCTATCCAGTTTCTCCTACCATACCCAGCAGATGAACACAATCCGCACGATGCTCTGTCTCAAGACACCCTTTGCACTACTTGCGAGACTGGAGGAAATGTGAAGAATGTTGACCCCCGAAACATGGGTGATGTACCTACGGACGAAGCGCCCGAGACTGGTCGGTCATTTCTGTGGTCCTTTCCGGAGCTCGAGAGGAATCACCGCTGTCCCTTATGTAGACTGGTATGGAAAGCGTTTCAGCCGTTCTACGAGCAGCTAAGGGAGACTGGATTACCCAATGCCGTACTGGGCCACCATGGAGGCGGAAAGGACGATGAGCCGAAGTGGATCAGAATCCTGAGCATGGTGTTTCGGATGACCATGGACAATCGCGATACCATGAAAAGTGGGCAAGTCGAAAGTTGGGCTTCTCTCAAACAAGGGCAGGCTGCCGCTGATGTTCTTGCAAAGTACATATATGAGGATGAACGAATTCCCCACTTCAACATCGCACAACTGGTGGGGACATCTCCTCACGCCAAAGTAGCTGAAAACGGAAGGCGACGGAGTAGGATTTTGGAAAACGACAAGATTGACTTTGCGATGGTCAAGAACTGGATCACTGCATGTGAGACCGATCATGGCAGGAAGTGCAACGGCCACAAAACGGAGATTGTCCCTGCAAAAAGGTTGATCGACGTGGAAACCAGTTGTATCGTCGAGCCTGCTGCTGTAGATCGGTACATGGCACTCTCGTACGTGTGGGGCCAAGCTGCGCAATTCATGCTGAGCAAAGACGTTGTCGACGATGCAAGTAAGGAGGGCTTCTTTGACGCTCTCGGCAGTAAGATTACTCGAACCATCCGAGACGCAATGGATGTCTGTCGCAAGATAGGTGTTCGCCATCTTTGGGTCGACGCTCTTTGCATCATACAGGACGACGCCCAAGACAAAGCACATCAGATTGGTCTGATGGATGAGATCTATGGACGTGCGCTGGCCGTTCTCATTGTGGCCGCCGGAGACGGAGCAGAGAGTGGTATACCAGGCATGGGTGAGAAGAGTCGAGAGCTTGTCTTTTACACCGAAACTGTGAGCGACGAAAAGCTTATGGCTTCTCTCGCCTCAACAACACTCTCCGCGAAACGCTCAAAATGGAACACTAGAGCATGGACATATCAAGAGTACATTATGGGTACCCGGCTCTTGGTATTCACCGATACCTACGTCTTCTTCAAATGCCCAACAGCCATGTTCCGAGACGATTCAGTAGTTCCAGCGTCTGGAATCATGCCCGCAACGCCAGTTCAATCTGACGATCAGTGGATATCGTTATCGCTGGACGACATTCCCGAAGATATGGATCCAAAGAAGATCTGGAAAGATTACTACGATAGCCTACTGTCCATCTATCTTCGCCGAGAGATGACATTCGACTCAGATGCGCTGCCTGCTTTCTCCGGAGTTCTCAAAGTGCTCTCGAAAGCGCTTGGATCTTTCCACCATGGTCTTCCAAAGAACCACTTTGGTCGCTCTCTACTTTGGGGTGCCTCTCACCGCGGCATATTCCAACGACGAGCCGACTTTCCTAGTTGGTCGTGGGCGGGTTGGCATTGGACTTTCGACTACTTCAACGCAGATCGAAGCAATGTCGGTGTATATGGCTACGACATGCCCAAAGAGACCGTTCCAATTCAGTTCTTCACTTTCGATCCTGATGGCAAGCTCGAGCTGTTCTTTGCTGAAGAACAGGAACCTATACCAAAGAATGAACCGAAAGCATCCACAATTGGGGGCGTAGACGATCTGATGACGATGATGATGTCGTGGAATGCGCAGCTTAATTCCGACCCGAACTTCTCGGACGCAGAACTGGATGCAAAATGCAACAAGATGGTTGCTGATATGTATGCGGAGAAGCAGCAGGAAGACAGAGAAAGGAGCATGGCGAACCCGGACGAGGACATGGCAAGGCTATTATCACATTTCGACCCTCCGGACGACCACCTGGACTTAGATGTTAAGGATTGAGGTCTCGTCAAAAGAACCCAGAGCATCTGATCGCATTTTATACCAGTGTCGCAACTCTGAGAATGTCGTTTGCAGCAGGTCAGAAGATCAAGGCTGGCACGACGACACAATATGATGTGATCGGCCAGGACGGTGTCAAACTATTCGACTGCTTCATTGACCTGAAGTGGAGAGCTAAACGGCCAAAATGTCTCGAGTTCGCTGTTCTGGGCCTGAAAGAAGGCCGCAAAGGAGTTGCACTGATGCTGTTGGATAACGTGGACGGAGTGTATTACCGCGTCAACTGGGAGTGGAAGCTATCTCAGCATCTCAGGGTAGCGACGTGGATGTGTCAGGATCCTGTTCAGAAGCTTATCGTTCTTGGTTGAGTTCGAGAGCATGGACATGGATGTACTGCCGTTACAAATGACTTCACAGAGTCATATTACACCCCGACAGGCCTCAGCCGCATGTATAGCTGAGAACAGGTTGTGATGTACCAGGGAATGGGAACGCTTGGTATCACGGATCGCACAGTGATCGTCCACGTCGCTATGCAATCGAGTGCTGTCTGGTGGATATCGTACTATGACCGACATTGCGCGTAGTCCTTCAGCCCAGTATCTGGCACTCTCGTTTCGGGCAAACAGAGCTCAACGTCTTCACCCTTCAGTTCAGTGAACACTCGACTGTAATCTCGCTACACCCTCATTAGCTTTGATACCAACCAGCACCCTGGCAATACTCACCTTCGTCACGGTCAAGAACTCGCTGTACATCCCATCTGCCTTCATTTTCTCCCGTACCTCATCAACAACGCCGCCGAGCAACGCAGCCACAGTCGTGATCTTACTGTCCCAGCTCACGAAGCTCGAGATGGCCGTTCCATCGACTCGTTCGGACTCAGTACTGCCATACGGGTTCTGCATCTTCTTGCCCATCACCATGTTCCACCACCATGCCATGCCCACAGACCTGCCTCTTTCTCCCTCTACGAGCAGGGTCGGGAAGACTGCATAAGGCGTGATGACATCGAGTTCTTGCTTCGTTTGGTTCGAGATGTTGGGAATCCCGGCATTGGATATATAGCCAATGATCTCTCCAGTGGAATCAGTGACATTGTTGACCGAAGCATATTCGCCAGGAATATGGCGAGCAGCACTGTTGCATGTCCTAGCCCGCTCCGCGTTGGTGTACAGCCGCTTGACAAGCTTGATATCGTAGTACGGCATCTCGAGCACTTTCCATTGCTCGTGTGACGAGAACCAGAAGCCTTTCTGGACCGTGATAGGACCTATACCGTGCTTGTTGTACTCCGTGCCCATGAGTTGTGGCCGCTTTGCTATCCAGAGTGCTCGTTTGTCTCGGTCTGAGAGGCCGCCGAAAAAGTAGAGCCACCACGTGAAGAGCTCGCCTTCATACGGATCGTTCAGGACGCCCGTCCCTTCGCAGGTGTAGGTTTGCCTCGGATCGTTGGGTGCCAACGCCTGCTTCAAGGTCACGACTGCGCAGACTGTGCCATCGCCGTGGTAGAACATTTTCGCAACGTGGACTTTGGCATAGTCCAGCCAGGCATTCCACTGGTCGCCAAGCTCCCTATATCTCGGTCTCGAGCTTGATTGGAGTACTTGGACCGCTCCATAGACCGCCCAGAGGAGCTCGCCATTGTCGAGACCAGGGACTCGATCTACCCAATCGTCTGTCGGCGCAAGCGTAGCATAGGTGTTGTTGTACCATGGCAAAAGACCACCGAAGCCGGGGTACGTCTTGTTAAAAGTAAGGTACGTGGCCAGCTTCTGTTGCATGACTTGGTATGCCTTGCCAGACGCAGCAGACGGCGAATCCGGAGAGATGAACCTCGCCGCATGTGCATCGCCAGCGAGTGCTTTGGCAAGCACCATCACGTGAAGAGACTCTTTGCTTGCGGCGCTGAAATTATGTCGACCAGCTCCGTTCGCGTGTGCTAGGCCGGTCTTCTGGTCAAGAAGTGTACCGTCGTAAGTCATCCCATTTGCGCCGTTGTAGCCAACGCCTGGTTGGGCGAACTTGCCTTCCCAGTAGAGGACATCGTGGATGAAGGGTTCTGGGTCTTTGACGACATCTTTGAGTGACGAGAGGGGAGCGAAGCGGCAAGGAGGATTTGATGCTGCTTTGACCAGAGATAGAGCAAGGAAGAGGAAGAATAGGGATGTACTCATGGCAGACAACATCTACGGGACGTGCGAAGGGTGGAAGAAGTAGGAGGTATCCTGAACGTAACTTACTTTGATTTATGTACTTACACTAGAACTACTGTCATGCTGCGGTCGCCATGCTGCGGGGTTGGGAGAAGTGGCTTGCAGGCTCTGTGGAACGCAGATTGATGGCACGCGATGGCCACACTGTGTCTTGTGGAAGACACCGTCGTTCCGCAGCTT